CTCAAATGCAGTCCATTGAAGGTTATGAAAAGAAGGCTTCAACCCTGGTACAAGTGGAACTTACAGTGTATTTTTATTAGGGTTTATGTGTTAATTGTGAGCCTCTCGATTATCATCTTGATAAAAGAGTAGGATTGTATTTTTGAGTTGTAAGTTCTGTCAGTCATTCCAAAGCTTTTAAGCAGTGAATGATTGGATGTCTTTGAAGTGTGACTTTTGTTATTTTTAAGTGTTTAGAATTGTTCACTCATTGTTCTCTTATTTGGAAGGGATTTGAGAAGTTTCTCATACCTAGGTGAGTCTTAGGTATAAGTTAAGTAAGGGTAGTGATTAAGTTAGAAGTTGTAAACTGAGGAGTTTGGCTTTAAATGGATATTATCTAGTTGATTTCGTCCATGACTTGGTAGCCTCCAGAATAGGTGTTGTTATACACCAAACTAGGTTAATAACCCTGTGTGTTTTTTACCTTTTTGCATTGTATTTAATGCTTACCTTGTCATTGTGTGTTTTTTCAGAGGAATGTGTCTCGACATCTCTTAGGACATATGAGATCTGAATACCAGAATTTCACTAATGTTGTAAGATAATTTACTTCTTTTATTGTGGTGACCTTAGGTTTTCATTTCCTGTTAATACATCTCAAAACTTTATTGGTAGAAATTTCATTAGAAATTGGTTTCCCAAGTTCATTCAAACGGTTTATGAGATGAGCTAACCTTTTTTTGCATGTCCGCAATGGTTTCACCAAGCTTCATGCAAAATAGTTCAAACTCTTAATTCAATATATTGACTCTATCTTGTTTGACTTTATTAGTTCCCTCGTGGGCAACTTGTAATGAGTCTCACATATCTTTTACAGTCTCACAATGAGAAACACGATAATATTCATCAACTCCTAGTGCGGATATGAGAATATTTTGTGCCTTCCAATCATGTGAACACAACTTATCATTTTCATCCTATTGTGCTTCCAGTTTAGGTATGAAAATGCCTTCATCATTGGTCATCATAATTTGATTAGGATCATGGATGATGGAATTCCATACTCCCTTATCAACCGAGTTGATATGGATATTGATACAAGCTTTCCAATAATCATAGTTGTCACCAATGAAATATAGACTCTATTGTACGCCCATTTAGGTTTAGAAGTCATAATCTAATAAGGGTTTTTGAAGCACAGAATGAACCGGGGCTCGTGATACCACTTGTTAGACGAAGGCAACTTATCTAGAGGGGGTGAATAGATCGCAAGTCAAAAGTTTCTTTTAAAAATTTTGTTAACTATGGCAAGCGGAAAACACCCATATCATCTATCGTCTAATCAGAACCGCTATCGAAAAACTCAAATATGCGTTAAACCAATGTTATATGCAATGATAATCATAAGTAATATAGACAATATATTTCCATAAACAACATATTTGAATATAATCACAATAGTAACGTATTTCCAATGAAATCTAAAACAACAAGCACAAAGAAGCAAATTATCAAACACTTGGTGTGTAATTGATGTTGGTCAGATTTTTCTTATTGTTTTGTTGATTTCAAAAATTAATTACAATCTTATATATTGTAATCAACTCAACAAAACTGTTTTAAATTTACAAAAGGTTTATCTAAATGTGTCAATTGCATAATCAGCGAATTCAATAATTTGTAGTTGAAAGTAAATGAGATAGAGAGAGAGACAAGGATTTATTTAGGCAGTTTCCCAATCAACCTCGCTATAGGTACGTCTGCCCCCAATTTTGTTCGGAATTAAGATAATAAACATTAATCTTTTCAAAATATTGTTTACAAGAGATTAAGTAGTGATTCTATCATCAAACCCTTAAGTGTGATGTATATCCAATATTCTTATATCCCCTTGATCACAGCAGGATCAAGTGAACTCGATAATTTCCATTTGATCCTCTGTCTCACGCTACTCCTTTGAAAGAACCCTCGTTCTTAAAAGGCTTCACTCGGTTGAATACAAATTGCAAATGTATCGTGACCCAAGATTTACCAAATTGATCCTCTAGTAACCGCTGCTTCTTCGACCGAAACCACTGTTCTTCAAAGTTTTCACACAGATGAGTCCAAATTGTGTAATCTTGTACAAAACCTTCAAATCTCAATGATCTTGAAGGAAAACCCCAACTTGGTTTTCTTATTTAAAACTCCCAAAGAATTCTCAATCCAATTTACAATTCAACAACCTATATTGGACGTTATCAACTCTAAATCTAGATGGCACCCAAACAAAGAATGATTATATGTAATTTGTTTGTGTATGTGCATAGAAAGAGTGGTTGAAGATGAAAAGAGTTTACTTTGTATGTTTATAGTTTCATCTACTCTTTAAAATGATGTATATATATATATATATATATATATATATATATATATATATATATATATATATATATATATATATATATATATATATGCGTGTGTGTGTGCGTGCGTGCGTGCGCGCGCATGCGTGCGTGTGTGGGTGTGTGGGTGTACAAGTTAGAGGCTAAATAGAATGCAAAAAGTTCAGAAATAATTACAAATTTGGAAAATTTGATCGTATGTGTGGACTCATGTAAGTCATGTGTCGATACATTAGATGCATGTGTCAAATTGTATATGTTATGTGTCGAAACATGTATTATAGTGCCTACAGGCTTTAAAAATCATTTGCACGTGTCGACTCATAGGTCGTATGTGTTGACACATAAGCCTACAAGTGTTGACTCATTAATCATATGTGTTGACACATCCATTACAGAGCCTACAGGCTTTAAAAATCATCTATATGTGTTGACTCATAGCATGTTTGTGTCTATACATAGGCATGTTTTTCACATAAAACCCTGTTTTTATTGCATGAAACCTTTCCTAAATAGTTCCTTAGCTTCCTAATACTAATATGCACATCAAGACTCAGAGAATACCGTCTAATATACATAAATGTTAAAATGTTCTAGTTTTTGACATCATACAAAACATCTCTAATAGGAAGGTACACTCACATATATTAAACAAAGAAATAATAAATAATTGTAAGATTAATATTTTTTCGCTTATAAACCAACAACTTTTTTATGGGTGACAAAACGGGTCCGGACTACCAGACATTTTCTTTTTTCCCTCATTTTTTTGCGAGATGGGCCAAGGTTTTAGGCATGCACCCTCTAATATGCCCACATCACCCCTTTTTTTTTGCAGGCGCATACATTAACATAAGTTTTTACAATTTTTAGATTTAAAAAGTGCACTGTGTGTGTGTCGCATCTCGAAAAATCAACGAACACGAAGGTGACAAAGAAGAGTCGTCATCAATGTTATTTATCTCAAAAGAGGGAAAGAAAACACCAAGTAAACCTAAGAAATGAAAGAACATGGTCTCGCGACCAAGAGAAAAGGTAAGGAAGTCGATTACGCAAGAGGAAAGTATTAGCACCCCTCACGTCTGTGGTACTCCATAGGATCCACTCAAGTTTGTTCTAATCAAAGGGTTTGATATATAAGTCTAAGACCTAGTGCTAAGGGAATGCATGCAATAGTATATACAAAAAAAGAAAGTTTTTATTAGTTGTGTCCGCCGCAGTTGCGAACATTTTTGCCTACGTACCCTCTTCGTGCAATTAGATATTAGGGCACTCGTAGTTCACCTAAAAAAGTATTTTAGTATGTTCGTGTTTTTTATGCGGATAATGTTACATTCGCACTCTAGCAGTTGACATATTGCAGCTCGACCTTTGAGGACTTATGCGTCGTTTTACACATAGTGGAAATAACATCATTTTTGTGAAAAGATTTTCAAAAGAAAAGCCCGAAGGCAAAAGAGATTTGATTGGTTTTTATTTTTTATCTTGAAAAGGGATTTTGTGATTTGAACCACATTAAAGACTATGATCGAAAGGAAGCACAAGGTTCGGAATATACCGCCTCATACTTCTCCTAAAACTTAAGGCTCGTGACACATGGTTCGCCTCTTTATTGTTAAGTGTTTTAGAGTTTTGATGAGAAAAAGAAGTTTTAGTTTGAAAGAATTGATGCAAAAAGAAAAATATGAATCAAAAGGGGATCTCAATCCTACTTTTTGTCATGCTTGTGGATCTAAAATTAGGATGAGTGGGAGATCTACCTAATATTGGTATATATGAATATCAATCCTAGGGTCTACTTTAGTTCAATCTTAAAGAAGAATGAACCAAAGGCATCTTATGGGGAGCATGACAATCTCACAAAGAAAAGAGTGCACAAGTCTGAAATGTCTCTACACAAGCAAAAAGACATAAGTAACACATCCAAACAAGCAATGAGAAGGGAGAAGAAAGAGCATCCAAACAAGTAATGGGAATAGAAGAAGAGAAATCACATCCAAACATGTAATGGGGAGATGAAGAAACAAAAAGACATGTATCTCATTCGGGTTTTCGCGTGGGAGCTGAATGCGAGTTCTCTTCCACTATATTGACCTCAATTACACGACAACATAATATGACTCAAAGCATCAACGTAAATGAAATGTGAGCTATGTCTTGTCAAAATAAAACCAAAGACCATTGTCCTGATCAGACTTTCATGTGGGAGCCGAATGCGAGCTCTTTTCCACTAAATCGACCTCAATTACACGACTCAATGCTATGGCACAAACAAAACTCATTAATGAGCTAGCTACACCAAGAGCATGGCCTACAAATGTAGGACTTTCAAATTAAATATTGCCTACGACGGTAGGACTTCCAGTCATACATCTCTATCCTACTTCTCATGGCAAGATTAATTGAAAATGATGCAAGAATGAGATAGTAAAGAGATCTCAAGGGATATCAAACGAAAAAGGCCTGTCACCATTTCAACGCGCGCTAAATTCAAAAATCCTCGCAGAAGCTTCATCAACAAGCAATCAAATTAATATTCAAATGCACAAAGATTTCGTCAACGATCAACATCAAGTAAGAATAAATCACAAGTAGAAGGTACGTCAAACAAATCTGAGGTATCGGATAAGAATTCTAATTCCTGCACCAAATGAGAAATAGCGCTATCAGACAAAACCAGGATAACGGAGATACAACCCGAAGGTCTCATGTGAAGTAAAAAACCAAAACAAATAGGTCAGAAACATGTATCAAAGTTGAAAGGAATATGAAGTAAACACTTAATTAATTAATTAAAAATTGATTAAGTTAATTAATTAAGTTAAGAAAAATTAATTAGTAAAACTAATTAATTTTTAATAATAAAACCAACTAACTAAATCAACTTTTAGTTAATTAACTAAAAGTAACAAAGTGGTGCTAAGATGAAGTGAGGTCTTGAAACATCTTTGGAAGCCTTCACAATAACAAACTTGTTAGTAACACAGGAGGGATTAAAAGAGACAAATGAACTTGCATCAAATTACATATATTAGTAACCAAATTTCACAATTAGAAATCATCATACGTGCATAACCAAGCAAGAACGTGAATCGAATCACAATTGACATCAACTTGTGAATTAACAAAGAAGTAGTTAGACAATTAGCAACCAAGAGTTCATGAGAGTTTCAAGTTTCACAACACACTTTAAACCACATTAGGAGTATAATTTCTCATTCTAAAAATCGAAATCAAAGTCACATAGAACTAAACCCATGGTATATACCAATTAACTTCAAAAATGAGCAAAACAAAAATTAAATCAAGATTTTACCATTCGAATTAATATTTGAGCAGCAACAAACAATGACAAATTAGCGTTCAAAAACTCATTTCAAATAAGTTCAAAACAAGAGAAAATAAGCCCAACAACAAAGCCAAAAGAATTCTCAATCAAATTGATTACAGGTCAACACTGAGGCTTAAAACTGTCATTAAAACAAGTTTAAATAGCACCAACTCAAATTATGACTCAATTCAACTTCAAAGCATGAAAACCAAACCCCGGAACAAGCTTTAATCATTTAAATCACATTTCGGGCAGCACTTACACATGAATCAAAAGTGTTGGAAACTCATCTCAAATAAATTCCAAATCAAAAGAGAAAGTGAAATTAATAGACAACATTCAATGATATTCAATCAAGACCAAATTCAGGTCACACAAAAGCTCAAAAATGTTACTAAAAATGACTCAGAGTTAGACATTGACACATTCGAAATTAACGCAAAACCACTCAAATTATAATGAAATTGACCACTTAAATTTAACACAATTTGTCATTCAATATCATAAACATGCTAGAACAAACAAACAACCTCAACACTTCAATATTACTCTCCCTGTTTCTTTTTAATTGTCACTTTTATAAAAAAATTATGTATCTTTTTAATTGTCACTTTCAAATTTCATAATATTAGTGATAGTTTTGTTAAAATTATCCCTAATCATTTATTATAGAGAGAGAAAAAAAGTAAGTTAAAATAATAAAAAGTTAAGGAATATTATAGTTAAAAGAAAAATTATTATTTAAAAAGTAACAACAATTGGTATGTATAAAAAGTCAAAAAATGATAATTAAAAAAGAACCAGAAACAGAGAGAGTAACAAATTAAACTCATTACACAGTAATGTCAATTTCCCATTCAAATTCATAATGTCATCACTAAATTCTTCAATTATTCAACAACAACAACACTAATCTTTCCAACAAACAATAACACCATTATCTTCAATTGATTTCAACAATGTCAACATTAATCTTAAACAATTATCTCAATAATTTCAACCGTTAAATCAAATAGCAACGCCATCACTAATTTTGAGTCAACAACAATGTCATTTAATCAATTAAATTCATCACTAACTTAAGACAATGTCATTAACACCTTTCAATTCAACAAACTCATAACAAACACCAACAATTTCTTATTTCAATTTATCAACCACAATCTCCTAAAATTATAAAAATCAATTTCAACACTAAATCAATTACATCAAAATAGGAATTAATTAAATGAGAAATAGTGAGAGATGAATTTACCAACTAAAAGTGGATTTTGAAGTGAAGAAAAGAGGGAGTATGTAACAGAGATTGACGGAGGGGGACCGGATGGGTGGCCGGAGTGAGGTTCTGTCCGGACGGAGGGAGAAGACGTGCCGGCTGGGAGCGAAAAGAGGAAGAGACCGGAAGGGAGTTGTCCGCGGAAGTTGTTCGGCTTCTGTTTCAATTTCAACACCTGCTACTTCAAAATCCATTTCTCCCTTTCTATTCTAATACCCTTATCTCTCTTAAATAACAAAATTAATGGTTTAACAATTTTATTTAATGACAACAATGTCCTTATAAAAAAAAAGTAAAAATTAATACATTTAAAAATATTTTTGTTTTAATTTTTTAGAATAAAAAATAAATATATAAAATAATCAAAAATAATAAAATATAAATATTTAATTAACTAAAAAAAATAAATGAATATATTAAAATAAATTACAGATCATAAAGATTAATAAAACAATTTCAAATGGTCAAAACTGAAGTAAAAATGACAATAAGAATATTCGATTGACATATGCGGACAATTAAAAAAGAGTATAAATTGTATCGAACAATTAAAGTGGGCATAATGACATGATCTACGCAGAATATAGATTCAAAAAACAGTAAGTAAAAGATGAAAAACTCGAAATATTTTTCCGTTAATTTTCTGCTCAATGTGAATTGATTTTAACGGTTTGTCTGTAGAACCAAAATATTAATATTATCGACATATAAATAAGTTAATGCAATGTAAGAAGCGGATAAAGTGATAAAAAAGTATGAAGGGAGATAACAAATATTTTTCAACTATGAAACGATGAAAATGTTGATTTAAATTGACTTTTGGCCAACCTAAATACAACTGATAATGCAAATTCGATGAATGAATGATTGTTTGTGCAAATGACCTAATGGAAACGTACGTAGATGAATGTATAGCTTAAGCCAGGTAAAAGTAAAATTAGAAAGACAAATTTTGGGGTGCAACAGCGTGAACTCGCCCCACCCTTTTTTTTTGCGAGATAGACCAATACTTAAGAGTCGCGAACTACACAATGCTTACCCCGTCCCATTTTTTGCAGAGCGGACATACTTGTTTCTCATCCCTAATTTTTTCTAATCAATTGAGCTATATTTTTTCAATTTTAAAAAAGTATTAGTTGTTTTCATTAAGCTCTCTGTGAACACTATTTGAGTCCAGATTCTATTTTATTACTGACTAGACAATCAAGTTGAATTTTTATTTTATTTTTTATTTAATTTTTAAAACATACATGAAATTCCTTTATTTTTTTATTTTAATTTTTATTATTTGTTAATTTTTTTTAAATATTATACTTTTTTACTTTTTTTAATTTTTTTTATGAATTAACTTTTTAAATATTCTATTTTATTGTTAACTAGACAGTCAAGTTGAATTTTTATTTTATTTTTAAAACACACGTGAAATTTGTTTATTTTTTATTTTTGTTACTTTTTTTTATAAAAATATTTTTAAGTTTTTTGAATAATAAAAATATATCATTTGAGCCTAATAGTTTATTTTTGTTTCATTAGCAATTCATTTACCTAAGTCTGCTTTTAATTGTTTTAATGGTCCATTTTAAGATTATAAACACTAATATTTATTCAATAGAATCCGATGTGGGACTCCATGAAGTCAATATCTCTTTCATCTTTTTACCTGCTTCAGTTGTAGTGTTCTCAAAACCATCCACACAACATCCATGTAAGCAACAACACCATTGAGAATTCACCAATAGAAAGATCCATCAGTTGCCTGCAAGAGTCGAGAGCATCCTTTGATCTAGGATCCTTCTCAACCTCATGCATGAGATCCGTTTCCTTAATTTTTTCATGGTAACAAAAGAGTAATGGAGCAAGGACACACACATTCTTATTAGTAATTTTTAGTTTTCTTGTGAGGGTTTCTTGAGAGAGTCTTTGTACTACAAATTTAGATTTGTTGTAAAGTTGGCATAAACAACTTTGGTATAACAATGTCGCAGGTGAACCTCGATGAAAATCGAATCACTCCAGTATCGATATGCATGATCGTCGGCAGAGGATTCATCGGGTCACATCTATGTAAAAATCTACTGTCTGAAATATTAGGTATCAGAATAACATGAAATAATTATAACACAGCTAAAATATAAGAGAATAATATAGAAATGAGAAGAAACACAATTAAATGATTATAGGATGATGTATAAACAACAATATGAGTTCTCTATATATATAAGAGACTCATGTACTAAAATAAGTTGATACATATTTAGTAAATTATGCTTAATCTTCTCTTTATCATAGAAATCAGTGATTTCTAATGCATTGACATTTTCTACAAAACAAATGACTTTATATTCTCACAATCTCCCACTTAAAGTCATTTTGTTTGTTTCCAAAATTTATATCCCTTGTTAATTCCATATTGCTACGTTTTAGATAGGCCATAAGAAGAATTGCACCAATAAAACTTATCAGCGTTGATCGGCTTTGTCATAACATCTGCTAGGTTGTCTTTTGTGTGAATCTTCTGCAAGTCCACACTCCCTTCCTCTACTACTTCACGAACGAAATGGTATTGAACTCCTATGTGCTTTGTCTTGGAATGAAAAACTGGATTTCTTGCAATGTGCAAGGAACTTTGATTGTCACAATACACAATATTTTTTGTTATTTGTATTCGAGCTCTTCCAATAACCTTTGAATCCATATAGCTTCCTTGCATGCTTGGGTAGCTGCCATATACTCAGCTTCTGTAGTAGATAGAGCTACAACAATTTGCAATTTGGATAACCAGCTTACCGCTCCTCCTACAATTGTAAACACATGGCTTGTAGTAGATTTTCTTTTGTCAAGATCACCTGCATAATCTGAATCAACATATCCTCTGACACCAAACTCCAATCCTCCAAAACATAATGCAACATCTGAGGTTTCTTTAATGTATCTCATGATCTTCTTCACAACATTCCAATGCTCTTTACCGGGATCTGTCATAAACCGACTGACCGCTCCCATTGCTTGTGCAATGTCTGGCCTTGTACATATCATGGCATACATAAGGCTTCCCACCGCGGATGCATAGGGTACTCGAGACATTTCCATCCTCTCCGCTTCATTGCTAGGATCCATACTTGAGGATAATTTATAATTGATAGAAAGTGGGGTAGATATTTGCTTACAGTCTTGCATGTTGAAGCGCCGCAAAACTTTTCGTAAATAATTTCTTTGAGAAAGATAAATCTTCCTATCTTTTATATCTTGGTGAATTTTCATCCCTAAAATCTTGTTTGATGGCCCCAAGTCCTTCATATCGAACTCCCTAGCCAATTGTGCCTTCAATTCTTGGATTTGATCTTTGTTGGGGCCTACCACCAACATGTCATCCACATACAACAACAAAATGATGAAAGCATTTTCCTCAAACCTCTTGTAATATGTATAATGATTTGAGCTTAACTTGTTGTATCCAAGGATAATAATGAAAGAATCAAATCTCTTGTACCAACACCTCGGCGCCTGCTTTAAACCGTACATAGATTTGGTCAACCTGCAAACCAAGTTTTATTTTCCTTTTTCTTCAAAACCTTCTGGTTGTAGCATATATATTTCTTCTTCAAGTTATCCATAAAGAAAAGCAGTCTTTACATCTAATTGTTTAAGATGTAAATCATAAGCAGCACACATAGCTAACACTACTCTGATAGTGGTAAGTCTAACCACCGGAGAAAATATTTCATTGAAATCAATTCCTTCCTTTTGAGAATATCCTTTAACCACAAGTCTTGCACGATATCTTTCCACTTGATCATTACCATCACGCTTAATCTTATAGACCCATTTGTTGTCGATGGCTTTCCGAACCTCTGGAAGTACAACAAGATCCCATGTCTTGTTTCTATGTAAGGCTTCCATTTCTTCCTGCATTGCTTCCATCCACAGAGAATCACTTGAGCAACTCACAGCCTCTTGAAAGGTTGATGGTTCTCTATCTTCTGTTAGAAGACAATATGCATCATGGCTTGCCATAACATAGTCTGACTGCCAATTTGGTTTCCTTTTCTGACGTGTTGGTCGTCGAACTTCAACACCATCAGGTTCCTCTAGTTCTTGTACCTCGTGCTCTAGTTCTGCTTTAAAAGATGATTCTTCTACAGACTTTCCATCTATATGAAAAGTAGTGATTTCTTTAGAAGTACTATCATTTTCCTGTTCCCTTTGTAGTTCATTCTCTGCAAAGATTACATCCTTGCTGACAATAACCTTGCGAGAAGTGGGATCCCACAGGCGATACCCCTTGACACCGTCAGCATAGCCCAAGAATATGCATTTCCTGGATTTTGGATCCAGCTTGGTTCTTTCTTGGGAGTTGTACATCACGTACACAGGACATCCAACCACATGTAGAATAGAATAATCAGTTGGCTTTCCTTTCCACATCTCCATCGGAGTCTTTAAACCAATTGCACTTGATGGAGATCTATTTATCACATAACATGCAGTTTTCACGACTTCTGCCCAGAATGACTTAGCTAATCCTGCAGTTCACAACATAGCTCTAGTCCTTTCTAGGAGAGTTCTATTCATTTGCTCTGCTACACCATTCTTCTTAGACGTATGAGCAACTGTAAATTGTCTCATTATCCCCTCTTCCTTGCAAAATGCCAAAAAATCATTGTCTGTATATTCTCCTCCATTGTCTGTCCTCAAGCACTTAATCTTTTTTCCAATTTCAAGCTCAATTAGTGCTTTGAATTTCTTGAATATTGAAAACACATCTGACTTCTTCTTGATTGGGTATACCCACAATCTCCTGGAGTAATCATCAATGAATGATACAAAATATTTTGCTCCTCCTATGGACATTTACGGTGACTCCCACACATCAGAATGAATCAAGTCAAGTATGTGTTTGCTCTTAGTAGTTGATCTATCAAATTTCAACCTATTTTGTTTTCTTACTACACAATGCTCACAGAAAGGTAGACTTACTGATTTGAGCCTGGGTAAGAGATCACGTTCCACAAGAAATTTCAAGCCTCATTCTGACATGTGGCCCAGTCTGTGATGCCACATTGTCGTTGAGTTTTCTTGACTAGTTGATGCAATTGACACATCACCTTCTTGCAACGTCTCTCCCATAAGAATGTACAGATTTGCAGATAACTTTTCTACCTTCATCACTACTAGAGCACCTCTCACCACTTTCAAGATCCCACCTTCAATATGGGTCTTGCACCCGAGGTCATCTAATTGTCCAATAGACAATAAATTCATCTTCAACCCTTTCACATGTCTCACCTCTTGAATTGTGCGAATTATACCATCGTACATTTTTATTTTCACAGTACCAACACCAACAATTTGTAAGGCGTAATTGTTTCCCATGAACACTGATCCTTCTGAGATAGGTTGATAAGTGTAAAACCAATCTCGTCGAGGAGTCATGTGCCATGTTGCTCCTGAATCAATTATCCAAACATTAGTGAGTTATTTACTACCATTGGAATTAGTTGTTGATCCGCTATATAGAATCTCTCTATCATCAGAGGTATTGGCAATACATCCTTGAGATGAACTTTCCTCAGAAGACTTCTCACCATTCTTCTTAAACCAACAATCTCTTCTCAAGTTCCCTTTCTTTCCACAATTGTAGCATCTCACATTCATCTTACTTCGAGATTTTTATCTACCATGATTTTGGCTCCCACTGGGGCCACGTTCCACTGATCTGCCTCTTGTCATTGTCAAAGCTTCTACTTGTTTTGAGTTTTCTTGACGGTCTTCCTTATTTATACGTCTGGACTTTTTCTCAAGAATAGCTCCGGCAACATCATCAAAGTATAGACGGTCTGTAACATTATTATTTGTTAAGTTGACGACAAGTGGATCATATGAATCTGGTAAGCTCTGAAGTAGAAGTTTTGCACGTTCATTTTCTGCTATGGTGAAATTTGTCGATGTAAGTTGAGAAAACATCGTATTAAGAGTGTTGATGTGATTTGTCACGGATGTAGATTCACTCATTCGAAGAGTCTAGAGTCTTCTGTTTAAGAAAATTTTATTGTGAAGTGACTTGACCTCGTACAATTTGATGAGAACATCCCAAATCTCCTTTGCAGTTTTCTTTTCGGCAACGCTAGACAAAACTGAATTCGCTAATGCTAAGTGCAAGTTGGCAACAGCGTTGTTATCCATCTCATTCCATTTCTCATCAGATATTCCCTCAGTTCTATCTTCAATTGCTGCTAAGCAATTATCCTTCCTCGGGATTGCCTTTATCTTCAATTTCCACAAGGAGAAATTACTCTCATTGAACTTCTCAATCTCAAATTTTGCCATCATGGTAATTTCAATTAAACCGGCTTGCACAATTTCACCGTGAATAATAATTACAGCGAAATATGGACCAACACAAAATGCTCTGATACCACTGTTGGGTATCAGAATAACATGAAATAATTATAACACAGCTAAAATATAAGAGAATAGTATAGAAATGAGAAGAAACACAATTGAATGATTATAGGATTATGCATAAACAACAATATGAATTCTCTATATATAAGAGACTCATGTACTAAAATAAGTTGATACATATTTAGTAAATTATGCTTAATCTTCTCTTTATCATAGAAATCAGTGATTTTTAATGCATTGATATTTTCTACAAAACAAATGACTTTATGTTCTCACATGAAACTTCTCATACAACCATAGTCATCGATGTCTCCTCCGAGAAAATCAATCATCTTCTGGATAAGTTCATTGATGCAATTCAGGTGATGAGTTGATGCTTTTTGAATATACTCTTTGATTTCATTGTGTTTTGAGGAGTATTGTAATTGTTGGTGTAATAGTTCATGCAGATTAAATTTTGCACCGAGAACAATAAGCTTTTATTTTCTGCTTAAAGTTTGCACAGAGAACAATAAGCGTTTGAACAAGGGCATGCTTGTTAGATTTGTTTCTTAATTTATGCGTGTGGAAATGATTCAATGCCAGGTCTGTGAATTGGACTTGATATTCAACTTCCATAAGGTCTGTTTTATGTAATTAATGGCTACTTATTTTCCTGCAACTCTAATTAATAATCCTTCCAAGTTGGTATAATATAAAGGTATAATTGATAGGAAATGGTTAAAATGAGTCAATCTTAGAGAGATTCAAGTTTGCATTTTCCACTTGACAACAAACTTAAAAAACTTTGGAAGTGCATCCAATGAGGCAATGTACCTCCTTTGGATTTCCTACGCACTGCAAGGCACCATAGAATGTGCTGAAAGCATTAAAAAAAAGTAAGTGTTCTCTACTTCTTAAGCTTTCTCACAGCAAGCTATAGTATCACAAAGGTTAAAAAAATTAGTCTCACATTATTTTGTTAATTAAATAAACTAGAATTTATAAAGTAAAATGTCATTTGGGCTTACAAGTTGAAAACTGTGTGAGAGTTAGTTGGTTGAAATTTAAGAAAACTTATAAAAAATATTAGTGATGAAGTCTTTTAACTTAACTTTAATTTCACTCTACTCCTTTATCTAATAAATATTACATTGTCTTCTTCAAAATTTATATTCAAATGTCAATGAGTTCCAGCACCTCTTCAAAGTCTCACAACCAAAGTTGTGAGACATTTGGATATGTGCTAAGAAGAAACATGAGGAGGGAGTCTTTTTGTCAAGAGGAGTGTGTTTTTCGTACAATTACAAATATGTTGGAAAAAATTTGTAGGTTTGTTGAAATCACCTTAATCAGACAAAGAAAAATCCCATTGTGGTATGTTATTTATCATATCAAATATGATACAAAACTAAACAATCCAATTTATCATGAGAATAATTTTGAAGTTAACAGAGTTGAATGCATTAACATTATATGAATATGAATCTTGCTACACAAGATGACATTGAACCATTTTAGCATTAATGCAAAATACTTCCATGAAACCATAATATTATAATTGTTTGTGTACACATACATTAATACAAAAAATATACACGTACACTAATACAAAAAGTATCACAAATACTACAGAAAAAGTGTGACACATAATCATAATGCAGTTGGTTTAATCTGAGTTGATGATGGATGACTTGGTCCTTGACTTAGTGTTGACTGATTTGGTCCCTGACTTGGTGCTAGCTCAGTTGGTTCAATTTGAGTTGATGTTCCCTGACCTGGTGTTGGCTGATTTGTTTCTTGTGTAACTGGCAGTTTGGAAGTAGCTTTGTTGTGTCCAATCATATGGCACCTACTATACTTGATACCAAATTTTATCGACTTCAGTTGTGTCTCACCTTTCATAATTTCTACAACATCCATGTTCCTTTTCTACTTTGGCCTTCTAGGTTGTGTTTTGATTGGTGGTGGTTGTAAATCAACATACTATGTTTTAGTCCATAGAGTTTCTCTATTCACTAGATATTTAACAGGTGCATAGCAAGCCTCATAACAGTCTCTTTTGTAGCACTTAGGCACAAATTCTTCAATCTCCAAGTGTTGATCCTTCATGCACGCCATTGCATGACAACATGACAACCTTGTCAGCATCCATCTCCTACAAGAGCATTCTTTTTTGACAGATTCACAATATAGTTTTCTCCATTATATGAGATATGTCTAACCTCGCAATTGTATTCATATGCACGTGTGTAAGAAATGCACACACAAAAAATTACCTAACAATCAATATGTAAAACACAACAAAAATTCACAGTTTTGAAATTCGCCAATTACCTCACTATCTAATTGTTGGTTTTTGTGATTCCTTTGTTATCCTTCTCTTGATATTTGGTAGAATATGAACTTCATATTTGGCAATCTTCTGCCTATTTGACTCCCACCTCAACATAAGGTAAACTCTGATTTTCTCAATCATTGTGACAATTAGTTTGGCCCTAGTTGTGACCAAAACTGAGTTGAATGCATCTGATATATTGTTCACAAAAGTATCACACCTTGGAGTGGTTCTAAACCTAGATTTGCTCCAAAATTCTGGTGAAATATTTATCAAGTGCTTGAATGCCTCCTCAATTACTTCCTTGATTTCAAGCATAATATTTTTTCATGCATTGACATGACTAATAGTAACATCCTTCCACATCAGTTCTTTCAACTTAATGTGTGGATATTTCTTCCTGAAGTTGTTGTATAAATGCCTAAAAATTGTACATAATTAAAAGTTAAAGGATAACATATAAATAGATAATCCCGCTTAACACTGCAATAATTTGGACACACACTCATAAACCTATATATCAATTAATTATTTTAAAAATATATACTATTTAATGTTTTTTCAATTTCTTATTTATTGTTTCATGTGAGTGTGCCTAACATTGTGCCCAAATATTTTGTGCCTAGACTAGTTCCTAAACCATAATCCTCCACTCTAAAAGGTGCACCAGTCAACTCCAAAATAAAAGGACATGCAACACAAAAGTGGCCCCTCTCTAGTGATGAATTGCTTCTCTGCTTTTTTTTCCACTAGTCAACTCAAACAAACTTAGGCATCCAATAAAGAACTGAATTATTAGACCAACAAATAATATAAACTAGGATAAGAAAAAATGCTGTATATTCTCTGTCATACTCTTTCTAACAAAAATCAGATTATTGTTCACCTGAGTATATTAAGCAGTTTTTTTTATGTGTAAATTTTAACATATAGTTATTATATTACTTTCGGTTTTTTATATCCGGAGACGACGAAATAGTAAGAATCATTAAAAAATTACACACAACTATGAGAATTAAATTTTAAAGTTCGACGTTGACGTTCAACCTAACAATATTCTTATTTTATTAGTTGAGGTAAGATTTGCATAATCTTCAAATAATAATTGTATCTAAACTATAAATATAAAATATGATGCAAGTTGAAGGGAGATGAATGTTGTCAATTGTCATGTTACTTATCAAACATATTTTTGTTATTTAGTGCATTTACCTGTTTTCCATAAAATTGAAACTCCCTTTTTTTCAGTTAGTGGACACTTACTTAACCTTTTTCTCTTCCTCTTTTTTTGGGCTCTGACATTCAATACTTTGTTTTCTCATCAAGTGGAAACTCCTGTCAGTCACTAGCTACTAGTACTTACTATCTGTTTTGCATTATATTACTCATCCATGAAGCTCCTATTGTTGCTTAATTCAATATTGTCTTCTTCCCTTGTTTTTCTTCAACCATGGCTCTCTCTTCTTCTTTCTTTTCTCATTCCAAGGTACGCTTATTTTGTGTCTTTCATATGATCTCAATTGAACATAATTATATGTATCAGTGTCGTGTCTGTGTCTGTGTGTAGACACTTGTTGGACACCAAACATGTGTTCCATCAGAAGTGTTGGTGCTACAGAGATCATGTTGTGTTTTCTATTATAATTATCTTCAATTGATGAATGTTGCTTATAATTATGATTCTGTTTCTTACAAGATTGACCACATAGGGAAGAAAACAGTATGGAATGGTGCTGAGCTTTGTAACAAACTCATTGTGAGAAATAGAATCAACAACTTAATCAAAGATTGGAGTTTCATAAGAGGATCAAGAGTTCTTGTGAAACAAAAAGTTATGAGATTGTCATCTTATAGAAAACCAAGTCCAGTATATACTTCATGTAATCCTTTTTCACAATAGATTGACGGTGTAAAATATCTTTACGAGTTTGGTTTATTTTTTCGATTTTTTTTCTTCTGATTTTTCTCTACCTTCATTCATGTTGCAGTGTTATCTGGATCACAAATTGCTAGCACTGCCTTTACAATAGGAACAACATCAGTCCTTCCATTTTACACTCTCATGGTTCTTGCTCCAAATTCTGACCTAGTATGTTTCTTACTATATTTGAAAAAAAACTTCAATTTTTCACTTCTTCATATTTTTCAATATACTAAAATCAATTCAGATATTGAACCGGTGAGAAACTATGATTGAACCGCTCAAATAACCGAGCTATAAACTGCTGTTTTACGGTTAAACTGGTTGAACCGTTGAGTTCAATTTTTTGATATTTTTATTTTCCTAACTCATCATGCCTAATTCATTTTCTTTGAATTCAAAAATGCAGACAAAAAAATCTATGCAAAGTAATGTCCCATATGCAATACTTGGTATTTTATATGCATATTTATTGTATCTTTCATGGACTCCTGAGACAGTTGAACTGATTTTTGCAAGTAAATACTTACTACCAGAGGTGAGTATTATTAATCAATAAAATTAAACTTTTCTTTATCAAAATAGCTACTATTATATATCATTTTGACATCTTATTATTTTTATTTTTTTTGCTTTGTGCAGCTAACTAGTATAGGAAAAATGTTCTCTAGTGAGATGACTTTAGCCTCTGCCTGGATTCACCTTCTTGTTATTGATCTCTTTGCTGCAAGGTTTTGCCTCTTTTCTAACCCTCCAGTTACATTACTTTCTCGAACCTTATTTGACACCGACATGACACTGATAAGAATTTGAGAAAACGCCAGACATGCCAGTGATAACAATTTGAGAAAATAAAATAGTAAATGAATATAAGTCAATGTCGTGTTGGTATCAAACATCAAACATGTCCTTAATATTAAGTGTCGTTGTCGTATCGATGTTACGCACGTGAGGATGTAAAATGTTTATGGGATTAAAAAGAAATTTAAGGCTTATTGTGATTATGTTTTTGTGGATATAAATGCAGGCAGGTATTTCTAGATGGACAAGAGAATGAGATTGAGACAAGGCATTCAGTTTCTCTTTGCTTGTTCTTTTGCCCTATTGGGATTCTTTCTCATGTCATAACCAAAGCAATGACTAGAACTATCAAAGAAAACAAACAGGATTTTTAGAGGGTTCATGGTTGAGCTTCAATGGAGCCAAATAAGGATTTTATTTCAAGTTTTAGAATATCATAAACTCATGTATGAGTTGAAGTTACTACTTACTAGTCCTAAATGTCATTGAAAGTTCTTTTTTACTCTATCAGAATATTACATTATAACTTGTTGGTTCTATCACAACATAACTTCTTTTGTTATTTTTTTTTATTTAAATCTTGATATTCAGTTTTGCGATCGACTTTTTCCATTGTTTAAAGGGTTAAATGCACTTTACCCCTGCAATAATAGCGAGTTTTAATTTATCCTCCTTTTAAAAAAAAAATTATTTCCGCCCCTTAACAAATATAGATTCCAAAACAAAAAACCTTATAGCTCAAGATTCCCTTTGTGTTGCAGACGTGGCTTTTGATTGTTTGCTAATTGGATAATTAAATGCCACCTTGAGCTGTTTGTGTTTATTACTTATAACATCTTTTGTATATTGATTCACCCCCTTGAAAAGCTAGGGTTCACTATCAGACAAAGTTAGCAAGCTCATAATGGGAAAGAAAGATGCAGCGAAGAAGAAGAAGCACCCGAAGAAGGCGAAGCATTCAAGGCAACCGTAGAAGCACGACGAATAAGGCGCTTTTGTTGATGCTGATAAGGTAAGTTTTTCCAACTGCTTGTTCGTTTACTCATACATACAGTTAAATGTTAGTTTTTTAATATTTTCCCAAATGATTTCAGAAAAATCAACTGTTCAATGTTATATTCCACCATGGAGGTGAATTTCTAATGTTGAACAATAGGGTTACGATTTACAGGGGGTTTAAGTACTTTAGTTTCGGATCTCCACATGGATCAGTTGACAATGCTTAGCATCCATGGGTTGGTTACCGGTTGGAGTTACAAGCAGGGAACATATAGAACGTGGACTTTAATTCGTGAAATAGATGATAATTATTTCTAGATTAGGAAGGATGATGATTGTTACGATTTCGCTACATACGCGTGTGCGACCCAACTAGACGGGGAAATATTCGTGGAGTATGATGTTAGTGATATTGGAGCCTCAGTAAGTAGTCCAAGGTGTGTCAATGAGAATGTTGAGATGAAAAGATGTGATGATGATTTAGTAGAAGGGTTGGGTGATAGTGAGGATGAACGTGTCACTGCTATTCTAGATGGTTTTAAAGGGATTGATGTAACTAAACCCATTAATGAGAGCCATTCAGTTGGTGAGTTTATGACTGGGTCCAAACAAAAAAGTTGTGAGGATGAAGAATATGTGAGCGATGAGCTGGAAAGCTCTGACCCAAATTTATCTGATAGTGATAAAGGAAAAGTGCCAAAGTTTGAAAAGTTTAGGAAAGAGCATTTAAATAAGGATTTTAAATTTCAGTGGGGTATGTAATTCAACTCCCTAGATGATTTTAGACATGCCATCCGTGAGTGGTCAGTATTAAATGGGAGAGAAATTACGTTTGTGAAAAATAAAAGTGACAGAGTAAGGGTAGTATGCAGGACCAATTGTGGGTTTTTAATGTTGTGCTCCAAAGTGGGCCATAAGCTCACTTATGCTATAAAAACCATAGTTGACAAACACACATGTGCTAGGGTTTTAGACAACAAATCTACAAGTTCAAGATGGGTGGCTAAGGTTGTGTTGAAGAAAATGCAAACTTCTGATAATGTCAGGATCTGTGATATAATTCAAGACTTAAGGCAAAATTATTCTGTGGGAATCACGGTGGCTAGGGCAGAAGGCTAAACTCATAGCCAAGAAGATGCTTGAAGGAGATGCAGACAAACAATATGCAAATTTAAGGAGATATGTTGCAGAATTACATAGAGTGGATCCTGGGAACACTTTGAGTATCACTGTAGAAAGACCAAGTTCATCTATTCACCAAGGTTTGGTTCCTTTTATTTTTGCTTTGATGGTTGTAAAAAGGGTTTCATTAATAGTTGTAGACCCTTTGTTGGATTTGATGATTGTCATTTAAAAACAAAGTATGGGGGTCAGTTATTAATTATTGTGGGTAGGGATCCAAATGATCAGTATTTTCCTTTGGTCTTTGGGGTGGTTAAGACTGAAACCAAAGAAAGCTAGAGGTGGTTTCTTGAGTTATTGATGACAGATGTAGGTCAGGACAAGAGATTTTTGTTTATATCTGATCAACAAAAGGTATACCTTTTTTGTCATTAAGTTATATGTTATGCATGTTTTACTTTGCATTGATATTATGCAATATTTCAGGGTTTGGTAGCTGTGTTTGAGGAGATGTTTGAAAGGATAGAGCATAGGTTGTGTTTAAGGCATCTTTATGAAAATTTCAAGAAAAGGTTTGGAGGTGGAGCTTTGATTAGAGATCTAATGATGGGGGTTGCAAAGTATACATACTATCACGGATGGTTACAAAAGATGAATGAGCTGAAGCTGGCAGATCATAATGCTTAGACTTGGTTAATGGGTGTTCTTCCAAAGGTTTAGTGTAAGCATGCTTTCAGTTTCTACCCTAAGTGTGATGTTCTTATGAACAATATTTCTGAGTCCTTTAATGCCACCATATTAAGTGTTAGGGATAAACCAATTTTAATAATGTGTGAGTGGATTAGGAAGTATTTAATGAACAAATGCTCTACTTCTGCCATGAAGTTTAAAAAATGGCCTCATAAGGTTATGTCAATTCCTAGAAAAAGACTTGATAATGAGGTTATGTTTAGTAGTCAATGGATGCCTACTTGGGCAATGGATGAAAAATTCCAAGTCACTCATTCCTATAACAGTCGGGAATTTATAGTTGACATTTCTAAGAGATCATGTACTTGTAATTTTTTGGGATTTAGTTGGTATTCCTTGTAGGCATGTTGTTGCTGCTTTAGGTTTTAGGCAACAAAATCTAGAGGATTTTGTTGATCACTGTTATTATAGAGACAAGTATTCAATATGCTATAGTTTTTCTGTGAGTCCAATTAATGGTGAGGAAATATGGCCAAAAGTTCAGTCAGAGAAGATTTTATCCCTATGTACAAGAAAGGTCCAGGCAGACCAAGAAAGTTAAGGATAAGGGAGTGTGGTGAAAAGGGTGCTAGAAGGAGGAGATTGTCAGGTGTTTCTTACAGATGCACTAAGTGTGACAAATTTGGTCACAATGCTCAAACATGTAAAAGCACAACACAAGATCCTAATGAACTAAAGAGAAAGGTATGGTAATTGTGTATTTTAAACTGACATATCATGTATTTTGAACTAACAAGTAATGTGTTTTATTTTTGTAGAGGAAGGTCAAGGTAGGTACAACTGATGATGTTCAACAAGCCGGGAAAACTGACGCAACTGAGGCACCAATACAGACTGGTGCAACTCAAACTGCAGCACAAACTGGTTGAACTCAAACTGCAATACACACTGGTGCAACTCAAACGGCATCACAAACTGGTGGAACTCAAACTACAATACACAATGCTGCAATTCAAACTGCAACACAAACTGGTTGAACTCAAACTGCAATACACACTGTTGCAACTCAAACTACAACACAAACTAGTGAAACTCAAACTGCAGCAACTGAACCAGTTGATTTAGAGACATAACTAATGATTTCATTTCAAGCATTTCTGAAATCAATACAACACGGTGTTCTGTCGTGGTTGGTAAACCAAACAAAAAAGGCAAGAAAAAAAGTGAAAGATGCCAAGCCAATGAGAAAGAGGTTCAGTGAAAGAATAAAACTCCAATGATTTCAAAAATCAATCACAGGGTCAGGTTCAAACCCGGAGCAGCCTATGTATTTGACAGAAGAAGAAATGAGTGGTTCTAAACGTGCAATGAAGAAATCTAAGAAGTAGTCTTATGTCTATATTGCTTATTTTGTCTATTTGATACTTTGGCATTAAGTTATGGTTTGTGTCCTTATGGTTTGTTAGGTTGTTATGCCCTTTTGTAATGACATTGACATTTTGTTCTACTTATGCCTTCATGTAATGACTACTTTAATATTGATTTCAATTGATAAGGTTATTTAATGATTTCAACTGGTAATGCAATACTGTAAGAAAAATGAAACACTCTTATTGTATCAAAGTTGACATTAAACAAATATCATATTGCATTGATGTAACTGACACCTCAAATTACAAATAATTGTACAACACTGCAAAGATATTACAAATACACATAACACTCCACTTCTGCAAAAAATATTACAAATACACATTACACTTCAAATTATAAATAGTTGTACAGTACTGCAAAGATAAACCAAGCCATCAAAATTGTCATATTCAGTTGGAAAATTTTCCTCTTCAATGCAACTATCTTCAACTTGGATCTGCCCAGTTTCCTTTCTGTCAGTTCAAACTTCAGTTTTGCCACATCATAGTGTTTGCAATAACTTTCCGAATTTGAGATTTCACTAATGGAGTGAGCAATTTCATCATCCCAAATAAACAAATCACATCTATTGTCCATCTGCAAACAAAAACAACATTAAACTCCTAAAAAGGTTTAGGTATTTCACAAAACTCAAGATTTAGGAACTTACCCCAGCATTCCTATATTTCCAGAATTTCCTATTACGATTTTTACGGTGTTAGCAAACCACATCTTCATCGGACGACAACATCCGCATCTAGAAACTTTGAATACTCGTACGAATTGCAACTTCCAACACTCTTGCTAGCATTCTCCATTTGAACGTAGGGACATAATCGGGGTTGAGGATACGATTTGCAATGGAAATGGTTCAACACGGTAAGGAGAAAAGAAATGAGCAAGACGGTAGAGACATAAGGGGTAGAGGAAACAATTTGCAATGAAAATAGTTGTGAAAAGGGACAGAAGACGAAGACATTAGCCCTAGACACAAACAATCCAACGTGACATTTAATTATCCAATCAACAAACAGTCACAAGCCACATCTGCAACTCAAAGAGAATCTTGAACTATAAAGTTTTTTATTTTGGGTTATTTGTTAAGGAGCGCAAAAAAAAAATTTAAAATGAGATAAATTAAAACTCGCTACTATTGCAGGAGATAAAGTGTATTTAACTCTTACTTAAAAATCATTTGAAATTCTAATGATGACAAACCTAAACTTCTAAAGAAGTAGAAGTTTACATACACAATGGTCCTCGTGGATGAAATGGTAACTTGATTGATGTCATATGTCGATTCAATAATTTTTTTAGAGAAAACGAATAGCATACTTCTAATAGCATAATGACCAGAATTTCACATGTTAAAAGATGAATAAGTGGGGTGTTGTAAATTTGAAACCGCACCCGTGCAATCGAAGGTCTCTTCATAGTTACCAACTAAACTAGCTTATCAGATTACAGTCCCCACATGTTTTTATTATAGAAAATATAACAATTCAAAGAGGCCCCAAGTATTGAAAACACAATACAAAGAATAACCAACTGTATGGCCTTCAATATTTTCATTAAAATGTATAGTCAGCTTATGTAAAGATTTAAAGAACTTCTACCAGGATCATGATGATGAATAATGGTGTTATCTTTTTTTAAACTGATAATTTCTTCTAAACTACACAAGGAACTCCTAGATTAATTAATGATCATGTACAAGACAAAACGATGAACTTTGTAAGCTAAAAGTGCAGTTCAACCTCCCTAAAAATCGGATTAATCAGCAAGATTTTGGGTCGATAACTTTTTTGCCACTGTAAGTCCCCGGAAGTCGTCGATAACAGCATTTTTGCAACTAGTAGTGCACAAAATGAATTTTTCAGAGATCAAGTGTAACTCATGATATAACAAAGGGACATATGTTATGTGTCAATAGAATCATCCATTTGATGCTCCAAAACAGACTGCAAAAAAGTAGACAAACAAACTTGAGAATCCTTCAGATAATCACTTATTTTACAAAGAATCACTTAAAGGAAGCAATCGAGTTAACAAATCTTTCCAATTTCGTTAAAAGCAATGTAAAAGCAGAGACACAGAAAAGCAATGTAAACAATTGAAAACAAAGTCATATTTCACAATGAGAAGTTGAGAATACACGTACTTCAAGTAGGTAGCGATGACATCTCGATTGGATTATCGAATTCTCCATTCAATAAATCTGATTGTCGGGTAGAATCTTTTCTATTTCGCTCCAATGAAGTTGCTTCATATATCCCTACATAATTGCATTGCAAAGAGCATTTAACATTAACTATCAAAAGAAAAAACAGAAAAAAAAGATAAGTAAAGAGAAAGCTACGTTGAAATATAAATTTGAAGAGAATTTCTAATATTCAAAACATACCAAACCCTAATATTAAGCTGCAAATCACGAAGCCTGTAAGAGAAAAATCCATCTTGTACACAATCTCCATGACAATGATGCATGCGCTAGCTGCCATCAAATGCCTCGGTGAGGAGAAAACCATGTGCAATCTACAATGAAAAGTATAAATTTCAGTATCGTCAACCATAATGTGTTTTGAATCACCAAAAACTCATGTATTATATTATCTTACACAATTCAGAATTTTCAATGATTACTCATGACAATAATAATATCACGGCATACCTCTCCTCTGCAATACTGTCGGCATAGAATATCACAATATTTCCAAAGAGAATAGTGCTGAAGAAGGCCCAGGCCGAGAATGGCAATTTTCCGTTGCTTTCGGAAGGTGACCCCTGAAGGAGTCAGAGGAGAGGGTTACAGAAATCGTTATATGTTGTCAACCAAGTCAAAACAACACAACAGAAATTCTATAAAGAGATGAGCTTCTCCTAATTTAGATCTAAAACAGAAAGCACCATCACAAAACTCACTATGATTGCATCCCACATTGCAATAGGAAACATAAAACATGTCGCAGAAGCAATAGTTAAAGCATGAAGCCGCCTTTTAAGTTGATTCTGAAAACAAAAGAGATTCCGGTTTAGATATTTAGGGAGCACATAAAGCACTTGAAACCAAGGAGAGAGCTAATTGCAAATTAGATGAATGTTACTACCTTGATTGAAACGCGCCTTGCGATCACTCTCCTAAGTGCTGATAGGATACCAGCAATAATAGGAATTAACATATGCTTCAAGCCCAAAACGTGTTCTTTCTGAGCCTCAGATTCCTCTCTATCTTGCCACGGTATATTCTAGTTAAGTTTACAACAAAAAGAAATGCACGGGGCAAACAAGAAAAACATATTTTAGCAGAAAAATTGGTCAATTAAAAACCGATCGGGACTATGCTACAGTTCGGTTATTTTAGGGGGTTTGAATGTTTGATCAAAATTTTATCTTGATTTAAGGAGGATGAACCATGACCTAGAGGTCTAGCCGATTCGATGTCTTGTTTGATTTTTGATGCATTGAATTTAAGAAAATAATAACAAAATGAGTAAGGATATAGAACGGAGAAAATGTTGCTGTGGCCCATCCTTCAGATAGCAGGTAAAATGAAGCACACATGGCAATTAGGCCACCTATCTGGTTCAAAAAATAAGAAATCGTAATCACCAGATTAGAGAAGACCCAAAATTTCTTTAAAACACATCAATCACAACCACGGCGGCACATAACGTCATCAATATATCAATACAAGTGCTTATGTATAAAGTCATTTCTAATTCTATAACAAAAAATAAAATAAAGTCTGACAATTTTTTTATAAGCTATAAGTTGTTTTAATAAGCTATCCTAGAGAGCTTATGAAAATAAGCTAAAACCAACTTATGAACATGTCATAAGATGTTTCCATAAGCTCTCTTAAACAGCTTAACAAGTGTTTTTGCAAGTAGATAAGTTCAAATAAGTCAATTCAAACAGAAACATGAATAAACTAAAGAAACAATATAATTGGATAACCCTAAAGAGAGGATAAAGAAAAACAAAATCTT